AAACATTGGCCATGTTGATAGCTTGTTATGAGGAAAGTCCCTGCCAGCATACTCCATATTTCCATCCCTTCCACAATTATGTTGGTCTTTGACTACCACTCCTCTTTCCATTGAATTTCAAGATAGCGCGCCTGGCCTGCTTCTATCATGTGTTCGTTCATATTATATACTGTAAGTGAACATGATTTGTGAAGGCTCTGAAAAAAAAGTAATCGATAAAATCCCGGGAAAAAAGAGCACTCATTAGTACGTTATACCACAGAAGTGCCTTTATGGAAAGTATGCGCATATGATTGTGATTTTTATCTTTTAAATTTAGAAGGCAATTACATAAGAGCGTAGCTAAATCACGAAAAATGTTAGCAACAATAGCGGAACTTCTTCCATGTGCAGGATTTTATTTTGTTTGACAGTTAGAATTTTACTTTCATTAGAAAACCGTAATTTTTGTTTTTTGTCATTAGATTTTAGGTTACGGAGGATATGGCAGGTTTATTGGATCTGGTGCCTATTATCAACCTCCGTATCAACCTTATGCTCCCCAGCAGTGTATTGGTAAGTTACATGCCAGTTTAAAGCGCTCTCTATAGTCTTCAAAGTTTTCTTCAGGACCTTGCATAAATGGTCAGTGTCCAAGAGGTTTTTCATGCATTGGCGAGCAGTGCTGCTCCGGCTATAATCCCTACTATCCGCCTAACTTCTATCAACCTTATGCTCCAACTCAGCGGTGTATTGGTCTGTTTTACACGACATAAATACGTCTTTTTGTCTTGAAATCATTCTTTCAGGGCCATGCGTGAATGGTCAATGTCCAGCAGGATACTCGTGCATTGGTAATCAGTGCTGCACGGGGTATAACCCTTTCTATCAACGTGACTACTATCGACCTTATGCTCAAACTAAACAATGATTAGTATGTTATAATCAACTTGTACGCCTTTTTCTCTTCAATTTATTTTTTTCGGAACCGTGCGTAGAGGAATGAATGTCCAGCAGGTACTCGTGTATCGGCGATCAGAACTGTTTTCCTAGAAAACAACTATGATACTAGAACTAGTGTTCACTTCATGTCTAGATGTGAATATATCTCTTTGTATCAAATTGCCAGCTATTTGTCGAATTATTTTTATTATGACAATTGAAAAATCGGATTCTATCGTTTCCTGCAAATACCTGACTCAGACTACTTACTGAGTTTGTTTGCTTTGAGAAAAATAAAGCTTTAGTTTGAACAGAGTTAAACGAGCAAAAGTGGTGCCACGTAATTCAATTTCTGAAAAGAAAGTACTGCAACTCGCAACAACGATAGTCTGTATATCGTACG